ACTAAGTCTGCAGTAATACACTCGGAGGGGACTGACTCTGCTGTTATACACTCTATAGGGACTGACACTGCGGTAATACCCTCATGGAGACCCCTACAAACTCACACGAGACCTCCATCTCAATCTCTGAAGACCAGTCTGCTTTAAAAATGCATACTAAAGCCAGTCTCTCTGAGATGGCCTCCATTCCCATCCTTTCTGTCGTAGCTGAATGCTTCCAATTTTTCCTTCGCCATAAGATTTTCTTTCCTCCCGGAGGCCTTATCAGAGCCATACTGAAAAAGGTGCCCCCACGGGGCAATGGGGCTTTTCCGCAGACAGTGTTTGCCCCGAGGGGGGTCTACTTGCACCGGCCGGCTGAGTCCACTCTGCCCGAAATGCCACAGGGGAAACTGAACATTATGTCTTGAGCGTCTCCTTCCCTGGCACAGAGGATAAAACATCCCTTAAGCTCTGTCCTCGTAGATCTAACCCCATTGCTATCTCTGCAGAAAAGCTTGTGTGTGTGTGTGTGTGTGTGGGGGGGGGGCTTTTACGATGCCCAAAAAAGCGGACACAGACTCCCCACTCTCCTGCTGTTGCAACCTGCAGCCATAATCCATCTTTTCTAGAAGGTCTCAGACAAAAAACGCCAGGAGAACAGACTCCCTCAGTGAGTCCGTGTGAGAGGTCAGCATCGCTCGGATACACGGAAGGCGTTCCGTACGGAACGTGCACATCTCACCAGCGCTGGTGCAAATATCAACAGCAGCTGTGGGGACCTGAGACCAGGACTAATCTAGTCCAAAGTACAGGAGAACGGATTCAGTGCAGAGGATGAAGGCTGAGCTACTGGGTATTTTTAGGAGGCTGAGCCGGACTGCTGCTTGTGCCGTAACAGCAGGGGGCGTAGCAGCTAAGGAATTGTACTAAAACCTCAGTATAAGTGGTAGTCTACAAGCCTGGCTGAACAATTAATATATCCTACTGAGCTCCAGATAAAAATGAGAAATTACATAAAGTTAGTGTGGGATAGAAAAGGCACACCCCCACCCAAAAGCCAATTAAAGCCTTAATTGTCCTCTTTAATGAACAACGGAACTTAACAGAGTGGCCTACAAAGTATGAGAGATATGAGCAAAAACACAATGTCCTCTACAGAGAACAAAAATGAACTGGGTCTTCGAAGGATATCCCATAATCCTCTGCAAAACAGCGATACGGCCCGCCCCAAATTCACTCCGCCGTCGCAGTACCCACTTGGACTCCAGCCGCTGCAGCAGGCCAGCAGGGTGGCAGTGGCGCTGATTGCAGACGACGACCAGAGTGACCAGGGACGCCAGGAAGATGGCGGCCAGCACTCCAATGGCCACGATCACCACCGTCTCCATGCCGACGCGCCGCCGTTTATAAGGAATGCAGGGGCTGGGCTGGTAACTGGGTTTGCATGCTAAGTATCACTCATCTGAAAAGGAAGGGGTAGAAAAACAAACAAGAAAATCCATCCATCCTATACCAAGTAGCACAGAGCACAAGGCAGGGGTCATGGTATATATTTTCCAGTATATAGACACAATCACTAAATCCTTTAGCAGACAGTCTCCTGGAAATTGACAGCAGCTCCCTGTGCAATATCTGTCGTCCCGCTATTCAGTAGCGGTAATATTAGCCGGTTTTACTGCTGCAACCTTGCCCTAAATTTACCACCACTTCCTAGCCCCAGTCAGCAAATTTTGCCCACCTACACTCTAGTTGGCAGTATATATATATATATATATACCATATTACTGTAATACCAGCCAAGTATTGGCCAGCACCCTGCATTCCCAGATGCCCCTCATCTGCCTCCCTGAAATCAATATCCCTAAGATGCGTGTCTGCTTTAGACACACGAGTAAATCATTACCCAGGCTTCGCTCTGTTACTTTAAAACATCACAGTGGACAAACACTGAGCATTTAGCCTACGTTAGCTATAGAATCTAGGAAGAAAGTGTCAGTGTTTGATTGTAGCAGCATTTGCTGCATAATTATCACCTGATGAGGAGCCAAACTGCCGCCAGGCCCGAGGTCTTATTGTCCAGAACCGTCTGTCAGACGGTAGCAGGATAAAGGTACCTGCATGAAACCTCACAAAAATGAGAAACAGCAGCCCTAGGCGGTTCACTCTTTGCGGTGGCCATTGCCGGCCCGGTACCCAAACTCCGGTTTTGGACATCGGTCGCGAGTAGAGCTCCGGTAACAAGAGCAAAGGAGCCGCCTGCGATTTCTGACCTTTTCCCATGACAGGTGGCGGAAGGTCCTCTGCCGCGAAGAGGTGATGCCGGGCCAGTCTGCGTTTGCCGGATGGCCCCCCCCCCGCCCGTGTGCCGAGTGAGTACATGCCCGCTCACCTGCCCCCCAATCACCCTGGCTAATCATTAACCAGCCCTGCCCTTCATACTGGGTGCAGCCGAGACTCTTAAACGGCCACGTGTGTCGAGCCGATCCCCCACAAGGCGCAAGTACCTGATGCCTGAACAAGCGCTTGGTCCGACTGCCCCCACCCCCCCCCGATTCCCCTTAAATCTGATGCTGTGGGTCATCTGTCAGCAAAAAAACACAAATGCCCCTTACAGAAAACTTTCTCGATAAGGCCGGGGAACCGTTTATCTTGCCTGCGCTTCACAATTTGTGACATATAGGCTTCCAACAGGGCACAGCAAGCACTAAACTTACAAAATATATTTTAAGAGCTGGTAGGCTACACTAAAACTAGACACGGTTTTCGAAAGAGATAACTCATCCATGATGTTAAAGAAAATGCAGTTTGCAGAAATAAAAAATCTGCCATGACAATTATGTGTTTCTCTGCTTTGCAAAAGGTATTTCTTTAAAAGAAATATATTAAATATTACTGGTATCGCCTCCCTTTGACTTTCCGCCGCCGGAGCGAGCCAACTTATCTGTACACTGTTCCAGGGATCTGGAAAACTGCAGGATTACCAGAGACAAGTTATGCATTTTTTTATCAAAAGGAGAAGAAATTAGTTTTAAACGAAAAGAGGAATTTAACAGGGTGCGAGTTCGGGAAAAGCTGTACAGCAAGACGTATTTCGGCAGACTCGAAGACTGAGGCCAGGTCTGTAACATAATGGTAAGAAAAATACTAAAAGTAGCCTACATGATAAGTTGCCCAATTCATAATTCTCGACCCAAATTAGAGGTACTGCACAAAATGGCAAAACACGCCGCTTATCCTACAGAGGGTGGGGTGGGGGTCCGGAACCAATCCCGGAGGCTAAGGGAGCAAGGTTATAAACAAGGATGGGGTGCATGGGCGTCGCCGCCATTAAGTCCCCCTAACATTTCATAATTATTCGTTTGGACCCCCCCACATTTAACATAAAATATTAGTTTTATGCCAGCGTGTCCCCCCACATTCAAAATGGTTCTGACGCCCCTGATGGGGTGGCAATTAACCCATCTCGGGGCACACTCACCTCACACACATATACACATCTATGGGCAATTTGGCAACTCCAGTTAACTAACCTCAGCATGTTTTTGGACTGTGGCGGGGGAGAGCCGGTTAACCTGGAGGAAACCCCACGACGACAGGGGGAGAACAAGCAACCTCCACATACGTGGAGCTAAAGCAGAGACTAGAACGCTGCTCCTATACAGTAGGTGTCAGGCAACTGTGCTACTGTTAATATAATAATGTAATAATGAGAAGAAGAATAAGAAGAAGCTATAGAAGCGGTAAAGTTTTTTTCACGGCGTGTTTATTGCCATGAGAATAAATGAGAAGTTTCTTAGCTAAGGATTCCAAGTTACGCGCAGCGCGATAAGCGCTGAGCGCTGGCCGCCGTTCGCCGCCGCCGCGGGCCGCTGTGACGCTTTAATCGGATTTCCAGCCGCCATGCATAAGAGGCTCAGTCCCGCCCTTTGTTCGGCGGTTTCGCACACTTTCGTGTGAAAGATAAGGCGCCATGAAAACAAATGTCCAGAAACGACTGCTGTGCCTATGAACAGCAATCAGCCAACATTCTGCAGTTGGATGTGAACAAGACCGTAATTACCCCCCCCCCCCAATATTCAAAGCCGGCCGCGGAGACACGGAGCGCTTCTGGAGCCACATAACCAAAATAATTCATTATTCATTTAGAATGTGCTTATTCTCTTTTTAGAAAATAAGTCGCACTTTAAAACCCCACAGTTTGAATGTCAACCAACAACTGAACTTTCCTTTAAATCGATGTGAGATGAGGAATCGAGAGACGCAAACCCTAATCATGCATCTTGAATTTTCAGTATAATTTAAGTGTGTGTGTGTGTGAATGTGTGTACATACATACATACATACATACATACATACATACACACACACGTGTGTGTTTAGAGGATGCACATATATTCGTCATACACATTTCTTTTGCGGAAAAAACCGTATCCCTACTAAGGCCACTGATGTTTAAGACAGACTGGCTTAAAATTTCCTGGAAATACATTTTAGGACTTCAGAACAATAGCACTGGTATCTAAAACTGTTTTCAAAATACATTCTAATAGCCAACGTTAAGTTATAAAGTGCACTAAGAGAAAAACTGCGCCATTGCATCAATAAAAACAATACGTATGCTATCCCTTTTAGATGCAGACTGAGTTACATGCCTGTATTTACTGTACGCTCAGTGCATGAATCAATGTTTTTACATAGATCAATGTTTTTTTGTCGAACCGCCAGATTTTACTCGTTTCCCAAACATTTTCCTAAACCAGCACGTAAGCCGCACAAATGAATGCCACTTTTTTCCAAGAATATACAAACTCACCCAGTCATGTTTGGCCGTTTTACTGACGTTAGGTTAAGGCAGGACCGTGCATGTACCTCCGCCTTGTACGGAGGTATGCGGGTGGGGGTGGGGTGGGGGCCCCAAGAGTCTCGTCTATGCTACGGACTGACCGGTACAGGAGAACCGAAGTTTGCACAGTGTACGAGCCGTGGGAGTGCGCGTCACGGGAGCACGCATTCAAGAATTCCGTGTCTCTTCCTATATCAAATTCAAACGTAACAACGTTATTATATAATGCACATTAAAAAGTCACTATCCAATAACGGATTGCTTGCTGCCACACCACATCTTATAATGTAATTCAATGACAGTTAACTCCCTATTATTTACACCTGTTACTAATATAAAATAACAACTTATATAATTATATCGAGAGCCTCGGGTTACATATGCGGAGTACAAAAATACTATTTATTCCTTACTACATATATAAATATTAATGTATTTGTGATACACACCGCTACACAATAATTGTGTAAATTAAATTGTGCGTTTATATTATTTCCATATTTTATAGATTATCGTCCACAGTTTCTGCTCACCACACAAACAGGAAATACAGCGTGTTATTTTCTGACAATGATTAACCGTTATTGTTACGCATGGCACTTGCGCGTCCACGCGGGCCGCTAGGGGGAGAGATCAGCACGCGGCACGGCGCCGCGCTCCTCGCGCCTTCGGCCCTCTGCGGCGGATTGACGCTTTTCCGGATGCGAAATCCGAAAGCTATGAACAGCGTGCGAGGTAAGATTACACTGATCTAACCAGCGATTGCACTTAAAACACTTTTTCTGTTAATGTTTTTGACGCAGAGAAACGTAGGACAGGAGTACATTGGGAGCCCCGGCTGTGGGTGACGCGGCGAACTCTACATGATATTAACGATAGAAGATACCGCCGACTTCTGTGAGGGTGTTTTCAGATTTATCTTTAAAATTTAATAACACACACACGTTTGTATATCTTTGTGGGGATTCTCCATTCATTTCTGTGGGGAAAACTATAATCCCAACATGACGACCTTAACCCCTATCCAAATTTTTATTGCTATATTTTATCATTGGTGTTCAGTAGTTTCCCACTGCAGCATTTTTGTAGGGGCTTCTGTAATAATAACAAGGGTGATATTTTGTAAACTTGTGCACAAAAGTTCAGGCTCGTAAACCGGAGTTTGTGCAGGAGACCGAAAGCCAGGCCCGTCTTCCACAGCTGCGTGGTTGCCCTTGTAGCAGATTGTAATGGTAATGAAGCAGCCCACCTCATCCTCCACAAACTTGGCCACTTGGGTGGTAGTCCTGTGGTGACGGGGGGCATTTGGAGCCTGTTTGTGGCCCGCCCCTCGTCACCTCTGTGGGCGATGCGGTGGGGCTATCCCAGGCAAGCTGTCGATGGAGGCGGCTTCCAAGCTGCCCGTGGCTGTTTGGCAGCTTCGCCGTCACCCTGGAGCGGGTTTCTGTGCACCGATGTCACAGTGTCCAGCCAGGACTTTATTTTACTCCCTGCTCTTTTCAAAACCGGCCCTGTTTTGCGGCACTGACAGGAATCCATTTTGAAGTAACAGAAATACATTAAGAGAGTCCGCCGTGAAGAAAGCTGGGATCCTGTCGCAGGGCGGTGGAAACGCTGACAGCCCGTGACAGGGATGCGAGCGGAGCAGGCTGGCTGCGTTCGTCCGGAAAGCCGCAGATGAAGCCGGGATGGCGTCTCTCGACGACCTGCCCGCGGGTTTGACAGCTTGGGTATCGGGGTGCGGTAGAGATCACCTTGCCGTGCCGAACACGCAACTCTAGGATGCGGTTGACAGGCTGCAGTGAGTCTGAGTCTGTTTGGTGAGGTGAATTATGCTTTTTTTGCAGCAGTGGTCGAAGCCCATGTGACGCCCTGGCCAATTGGGGGCAGTTGGCTTAGTTTGCTAAATCAGCGCCCCTACAGATGATGCCACCCTGGGCAATCGCCCATGCCAGGGTCCGTCTTTGGTTATGTATACCTTTTATAACCATATATTCGTGGTTTACCCTGTCCAGCACTACACATGGGCTTTTTTAAAAAAAAAAAACACTGAATGATCTTGCCCCGCCCCCTTTTCCAGGTAGGAACAGGTAGGGTGACAGTCTGGCGTGTGAGTAACCGCCTATCAGAATGAACGTACTTTAAACCCAGAGCCCCATTGGCTCTCTCCTGCCTCAAGTAGGATGGCGCTTTGGCCTCCCTTTACAACGTGTCTAGCTTAGGACATCTACTCCAGCCTACAGCCTTCCCAAGGCTGCCACGGAGAATCTCAGCCACAGGGTGACACGAGGCTGGGGAATTTCCACCGACAGATGGCAGGGGTGGGGTATGGGGCGGGGGGGAGGTATTGGCAGATTCCTGGAATAAGAGTCCTATGTTTCTTCTTTTCTCATTGTGTTCCGGTAAACACAGATTTTAGAGCCGCATCTCGCCCCTGTAGTGGCGATGCCCTGTAGCAGCGGTCATCAAGGGGATTGAGATTGATTTGTGCTGTAAAGAGACACTGGGGAGGCTGAGGATTTTCCACAGCAGAAGTGGGGGAGAGCTGTTCCCAGGGGTCCCCCTCTCATTAGAAGCAAGTTTGCAGACAGCAGCTGCCTCTGTCTTCATTGTGCTTTTGCTTAGATTCTTGCATGAGGCAGTGATGAAAAAATAATAAAGTTTTACGTGTCAGTATTTTGCCCCCAGTGTTCTTACAAATGTCTGAAAACAAAGTTTCATAAACTTTTATTCGGTTCTTGGCCAAACAAATGGGTTAAATTCAGAAGAATATACACTATGTATGTGTAATATTTTGCCATTTTTTTTACGAAGAGATTTCGTTTTAGCAAACCAAGCCCTGCATTATTTATGTTTGGATATGTTTGTGCCGTCGTTATATCGCAGCCTCATATCAAATTCTTGTTATATAGAATATTTTACACCTAAGAATTTAGAAATTAAGTCTTCCGTGGTTAACTACTCATTTTACGGATATATTATTGCAAGTACATAAGAGATGCTGCCTGTTAAATGGAAACACAGCTCAAATTAATGGAAGCTGTACCTTTGGGACTCTTCCTTCTGTTCGGATATGTGTTGCTTTGAGCATAAAGCAAGATGTATAAACCTATTTATATATCACAGGCAGATGGACTATTTTATATAAAGACTTTGTAGTCGTCTGACCACCCGACACTTACTGGATTTCATTTGCCTTAAAGTGCATTGAAATAGTGAGATTAAGTATGAGTAACTTTATAAACAGTCACGATGATCATGACGCTGCTTATGTCATAAATCATGTCGCATTAATTTCACTGCTGGGTCGCTGCTCGCAATGCCATGCCGTTAAGGGTGGTTTGGACAGAACACCACAAACAAATTCAGACTAAGGCTGCTGGTCTCTGTCGCAGTTTTAACCAAACTTATGGTTTTTCAAGTAAAAGTGGCAGCCATGAATCCAGCTAGAGCACTGTAGCCATGGGAACCCCCCCCCCCCCTCCCCCCCATCTCAATAACAGCAAATGGCCTTTGAAGGCCCTGCCAAATGGATTCTAATGCCCTTATAATGGGGCAGCACTAGAGAAGGGCCAATAGTGTTTGAGCTTGTGTGAGACGTGGCCTGACTGACAGGTGCAGTGAGATGTCAAGGAAATTACAGAAGAGGACGGGTTTGGTTCCCCGTTTGAGCATAAATGTCTTACACGTACCTGTACATGACCTCAGAAAAGTCTTTTGTTTCACCGTACCCTTACATGAAGCGTAAAGTGTTTCTAGCACTGTTGACCTCCCTGAACATACCGTGCTGGACCTGATATTATCAAGATGGCTGACTGCATAAGTACATAGTACCTGGCGGACCATATACAGAGGATTCATGTGGATCAGTAATTCTCAATCAGGCTCTCGGGGACCCATGGTCGGTCCATGTTTTTGCTCTCTCCGAGCTCCCTGCCAGACAGCCCATGTTTTTGCTCCCTCTCAGCTTCCTGCCAGACAGTCCATGTTTTTGCTCCCTCCCAGCTCCCCGCCAGACAGTCCATGTTTTTGCTCCCTCCCAGCTCCCCGCCAGACAGCCCATGTTTTTGCTCCCTCCCAGCTCCCTGCCAGACAGCCCGCTGTCTATTGGTCCCCGAGGACCGGATTGGGAAACACTGATTTGTTTTGAGTCACTGTCGTCGATGGGCCTCTCCGAGTTTGTTCCCGAAATATTTCTGGGCTGTACTATCTTCAAATTTGAGCGCTGACCCAACGTCCAATGCTGTGGTTCAAGGTGCTTCTTGGTAGATCCAGGGCTTCACTGTCGGGTTGTAAACTGAAGGCAATGCACCCTGAGGTGCAGGGATTATGCCTCGTTTTTGCCCTGGGACCGGCGTCACGTTATGGGGATGCTGGAATTCGGGGGGAGGGGGGGGATAATAAGGCTGAGTGAGCAGAGAGGTCCTCTAATCCCTCACAGATTGCCCCGGGCTGTTTAAATCCCCACAATTTTAGCCGTCTTAAAGAACATCTGACTCTGTCAAGGATCGGGAAGCTGACAACGGGGACTAATTCTGGTAATTTTTACATGGGAAACGAGGCCTTCATAATCCATAAGGTGACGGATTTACTGGTAAAATAAGGGTTTGAAGGGTTTTTTTTTCCAATGGGGGAATCTTAAAGAATCTATACTCCAACTGTAATATTAAACAACTTAAAGATCGCTTCTTGCAACCCTGGATAGATGGAAGGACCCCAAAGTAGTTCAGGTGTGACCAGACTTTCCCGGGATATCGATCCCTGTGTCTTTTGCCAGCTCCCAGCTCGGCTCTGGGTTTCGTCCTGCCCTCGACACGAGGTTCGCGGTCCCTCTTTGAGGTAACCGGTGCCTGTTTAACTCCGACGGATAAATGGTGAATGAATTCCGTAAACATTTATGTTAGCTGTCCCCTGGGATCCCTGTTATGGAGGTGCTGTGTTTGTTTGTGTGTCATGCCGCCTCAGGCTTGGGCTGCTATAAGCTCTTGGTTCGCTGAGGAGTCGTCTCTAAGGATGGCATGCAATTCTCCAGACAGGCTTTGCCACCTCTGAGCATCTTCTTGCATAATTTTACGCTCGACCTCAGTCGTTACCAGGGAAAGTAATAACAGATCAGTCTGATTGACTGAAATGTTACAAAGGTTCTAGGCCAAACTGGTCTCCTTGATTAATCGATGATGGAAACAATGCAGCCACCATCTTTAAGGTGAGCCGGTCCTCATGCCTTCCTCTAAATGTACAAAGTAAAAGAAATCTTGTTGATATTCTAGTTAAGAGCATAAGTTTATGCCTACAGGAATGGTATTTTATTATTAGGTGCCTTGATATTAATGGCAGTTCCTTATGACCTTACAGAAAGCATTTTTCCAGAACAGTCTGGGTCTTAGGCTTCCATTTGTCATTTTAATTGTTATGAATTCTCCTTCTCTTATACTTTCTGCCTTTCCAAACATCACTGGGTCTCATACTTGTTCCGGTCATTCGTTACTTTTGGTGGATTGGCTGTCTGGGAGGGGGGTGGGCTTTTGTTATTTTGATGGACACCTCTGCGTTAAGAGCATCAGTGAAGAGTGGGGTATATTAACTGCAACAGTGGCAGGTGTCGTGACCATAACTGCAGCCAATGCATGGTCTTATCTAAGATGTCGTTAGCCTAGTATGATGCTGCGATGTACGGCGCTGAGCTTAATAGAGGGTGTTGAAGCCCACTTGGGTTTGAAACAGAGCCGTGAGAG